AAGAAAATGTTTCTTAAGGGACAACAGTTTTGAAGTTAATGAAATGCCTATGTGTAGAATTTATTAACTTTCACAATGAAGCAACTGCTCTTTTGTGTTACTAGGATTTATAAAAAAGAATAGTTATGTTTGTGGATTTTATTTAACAGTTTAAAATAGTTTGAAACAATGTTTGTGGTTACGTTTCTCTTTACCTGGTGATTCTGAACATAGCCACAAAGAAAATTTTTCAAAAGATGTGAGAAAATAAAGAAAAATTAGAGATAATTTTAATCATAAGTTTTGTTTCGTTATCATGTGATCAGTTTTTAGAATGAAAATCATAGTATATATATATATACATGGTAATATATGGTAATGTTCATCATTACTTTCACCATTATCATCATCATTATTTCTATTGAGACTATATGTGATTAGTTTTGTATTTTTATTCAGTATCTTATCCAGTATTTCACTAAATCTGTAGGAAAACTTTATGTAGGAGGTTTTATGAATATTTTCATTTTTTTATATGGAGTTACTAGGCCCCATAAACCTTAGATAAACTGAGTAGGTTCATGCTGACCATGTAGCTTGAAGTCAAGATTGAAATGAAGAGAGTAAGACAACAGAGTCATGATAACTACCATTACCAAATATCAAATAGTATCCTGAACAGCTTGAAGGATATAATATTAAACAGGGGTCTATACTGATATAGAATAGAAATCAATATACGTTCAATTTTCTCAGGCATAGAATAGAAGTAACAATAGCTATTTCGTATTGGTCTCATGGGTTATAAAAAAAATGAACAAAGTTTTCTAAATTCAGTTTTAAGTTCCCGAAAGGAAAATATAAAACCTTGAAACACAATAATTTATACTAGCCATGCATGTTTAATGCAAAAATGTATTAATTTTTTACTTAATTTAGGGATATATCAGAAAACAGAGAAGTGTTTAGAATTCATAAGTACCAAAAGAGTAATAATAGTAAATTGGCAAGTGGACAGAATAAAGAAAGCTCTTTTCAAAAATTAAAATGAAATTAAATTGTGTATTTTGTAAATGCTTCTTAATTAATTAAATGAAGTGAAAATAATCTTGCTTAAAAAAACTCCTCAAAATGTTCTAAAAGAAAGAAAACATATTAACTTTCATTTAAGGGTGTGTAAATTAATGTCCATCTCTGAAATTATCTTTTGAACTTATTAAGTCTGAAGAATGGTGAAAGAATACTGACATAATTATTTGGGAAGTGCAAGGATGGTTTATATAAGTCAGTTATTTATGTAGGCAGCAAGTTAGGCATACACCTTAAGTTAAAACAGCTACATACTTTCATAGTATTTATCATATTTTATCTTTAACTCTACTCCACCCTTCACAGATCACCCTTCGCAGATAAATTTCAGTATACTATCTTTATTGATATAAGGTATGTTTAGGAGAGCAGGAATGTATTTATATGTATATATATATAGTATACATATATATAATCTTAAGAATATATACATGTTCTTAAGATGAAAAGAATATTTAAGAATATTTATTTTAATATTTAAGAATATTTAGGACTGGAGCGATAGCACAGCAGTAGGGTGTTTGCCTTATAAGCGGCCAACATGGCCGACTCGAGTTCGATTCCTCCACCCCTCTCAGAGAGCCCGGCAAGCTACCGAGAGTATCTCACCTGCACGGCAGAGCCTGGGAAGCTACCTGTGATGTATTCAATATGCCAAACACAGTAACAACAAGTCTCATGATGGAGATGTTACTGGGCCTGCTCGAGCAAATCGATGAACAATGGGAGGACCGTGATGTGTGAAGAATATTTATTTTAATTAAATATTTTAATATTTATTTTAATAAATTATTTTAAAATTATTTGAGATTTAATACAGAAATTTTGAATAAAAATATTATAGTTTATATAGCTTCTGGCAGGAGAATTACAATGATGATGTTTTATATGTGATATTAAGTTAAATATAATTCATATTCTCCATATATTAATATGAATAACAATTATACATAATGAGATACCATGATGCACCAAGAGAAAAGGAAAACATTATTTTTTAAAATATTTCTTTACAATATTTATTTGAAAAGTCTGGCAGAGTCTGGCAAACTTCCCGTGTCGTATTCAATATGCCAAATACCAGTAACAATGATGGGTCTCATTCTCCTAATCCTGAAAGAGCATTGAAATGGCTCTTTTAAAATCTCAGGGCTAGGAAGGAGACGTCACTGGTGCCTGCTCGAGGAAGTTGATGAACAAAAGGATGATCGTGATAGTGATCGTGATTTATTTGAAGAAATTGTTTCCCATACTACAATAAATTCCAGAAAGTTTAGAGCTAGTTATCAAATTAAAATAATAGAAATAATGATAAATCTGATGGGATCTCAGGATAGGTATTATAAAGTCAACAAGAGTTCATCATGAAAAAGAGATTACCTAGAGAAGCCAGCTGTTCCAAAGACAGAAACATGAGAAAACCACAGAATAAACTTGAGGGTAATAAAGAAAAAACAACAAAGAAGACTATGGAGATACAGACATGTACTTTTTGAAAAGCTTGAAAAGGATATCATTCCTGTAGAAACAAGCTAGATTAGAAGTTTCAATAACAGGGATAATTATAGCAACAAATATTGATAGATCAAGTGAGATAAACTGTGAAAAACAGTCTTTTTTTCTTCCTTTTTATGATTCTGTATAGTGGCAGAGGCAACAGGAAAGAAATTGTAGATAAAAGACAAGTGTGTCTCCACTGAATATAAGGAAAGGGATGAAGACGCTGAAATCAAAAGCAATCATGGGGCCAAAAACAATAGTCTAGGGATAGAGCTCCAGTCACAGAGCAGCAGGTAGCATGTGGGATGCCTTGAATTTGGTCCTAAGCAATGTGTGACTCTCCTACAGCACTATGAAGTGTGGCCCTCGGAGTCCCCCCAAGTACGTTTGGGAGTGGATTTCAAAACAAGGTACAAGTTTGCTTCTATTTTTATTTTGTTTAGTTTTGTGAAGGTTGAGTAATAAACAAAACATGAAGATGCAAGAGAACGAAAACAGGTTGAGTTATATCTCAGAGTATCCAATTTTCCAATGAAATAAGATGAAATAAGATGCTTCTAATTTTCCAGTGAAATAAGATGGAAAACCATTGACTGAGCGTTGAGATGGGGAAAAATAAGAGGTGGAATTTTGAGAATAAAAAAGGGAGTGGAAGTCTAGAGAAGTGATTTTACCATGGTGGGAGAAAGGATAGGGATAGGTTAAGGGGGGAGATTAGAGTGTGTGGTGTTAAAATGTATACTCAAAGCCCTGTCATCAACAGTATTGTAAACTGTGGTGCCTAAAATAAAATAGAGGGCAGAGGTGGTACGAAATATTCATCCAGAAATATGAAAGAGGAAACGAATAGGAGAAAATTGGCGTAATTTTTCATAGTCCTATACAAGGTTCATTTGAAGTGAGTTATCATGAGTTAATCATAAAGAATAAACAATATAGCTATATATATTTCTATAGCTACATTTAGTTTAGAAGGCGTTTATGTGTTAATGCAAGATTTAGCAAGTGCTGGAAGTAACAATGAGAATAAGTAGTAAAATGTTAAGGAAAATGAATGTGCAAAGCAGTGGCACTAACAAATGGAATGCATATTATTAATCTGGTGAAGAAAGTTAGGGCATGGAAGAGTTAAGAAACAAATATCAATGGTGAAACTAAATTGTTGAATCTGGACTTTTGATATGAACTGGTCAAAAAAGAGATGGTTTTTATTGAAACTCTAAGTACATCACAGGGCCTTTGCATGCACAAGATCTGGGTTTGAGATACATCAATTTAGGGAAAAAATTGACTAAAGATTGCAGTTACTGGTAAGCACAATTTTATGATAATTGATGGAGTGAGGAAACAAATTGAAAAAGAGGGTTATGGACAGTTTATTTCATGAATCTTAAAATCACCAACTTTTAATTGTAGTGCTATAGAGAAGGACAATATTGCTGAAGAAAATTATTCAACAATAATTTGAGTGAAACTGGAAGTCAGTATGTAACTTCAACAAACAGGTGTAGTGGACAAACATATAGGGATATTTAAACAAACAAAACAAAAAACCTATTGAAGAGAGATGTGGGTTCTAAGAAAGTAGTATGGAAGAGCCATAGACTTTCTTCCCTCAGGCTCATGGGAATGACGGGATGAAGAGACAAGAGAGAAAAATGGCTACTACCCGCAAAAAAACATTTTTTCTGGAGATCAAGATAAAGAGATGATCAAGAGATGAGCATAGAGGGGCACAGAATGGAGGGGGTGTTTGCTGATGTCTGATGGTGAGTTCAGTCAAGACTCCATGGAAATGTTTTAGAATATGGGAGTCTCACCAAAAGGCCAGAGTGATGGATGGGATTAGAATCTGGGTGACAGAATAATGCCATAGGAAATCTGGATGTTTTGATGTTTTTCATTGTTTCAAAGCAGATGGCAATAACACAGTAGGAAATAAGCATGAGTACATATATATGTATATATATATATACATATATATGTAAGAACAGGAAGATTCTAAGGGAAATGGTTAGTTTATAAATTATAGGGGGATATAAAAAGGTTACAAAATACCTGGTGTTATAATACATTCATGATAATACAGCTAGTGGTCAAAACACAGAATTGCATCTATGTTATATGTAAAATATTGTTTAAGAAGACATTATAGCATTGTTAGGAAATGCATAATAATTGTCTATTTTATGCTGAATTTTGGATGGTGTTTTGTAAACATGTTTGTGTAATTTTTATATTTCCAATAAATATGTTTAGATTTAGAAACAGGAAAAAAATAACTTGTTGCTTATACTCTCAGGTGTTTATCTAAGACAGTATCAATAATATATTTCTTGTTGTAAGCGATGGTTTTCCTCATTGTCCTATTGGAGCACGTGTATAGAGAAATGAATATGTGGGCTAGGCCCAAGAACAGTAGATGTGAATACCTGGCATATAGAAGTTTCAGGATCACACATATTGCTGTGTCCATTACACTGACAAGGAACACAGGTACCCAGGGTTGGTCCAGCTGTGTGACCTCCAAGCTCAGAGCGACTTCGATAAAATCCTGGCAGGCAGTTCTGAAAGAAAAGAAAGCCAATTAGGACAACAAAGTTGAAAATCAAGCTTTGGTAACATGGGAGCTCTTTGGTGGTTAAAAGAGATTTATTTGCTCATTTACACTAAAGACAACACCACTTACAAACAAAAGTGACAATTTTGGTTACTAATGTGACTTTTTGATGGATTCCTTAGGTATAAAGGTAGTACTAAGTAATCAGACTTTAGCAAATGAAAAGGGAAGTTTTTATTTGCATAGAAACTCAGAAAAATCGTGTCTTATTTTTCTTGAGAAAGAAGTAGTTTTCGTGTTTGCTTTTTTAAGTTTTGATGAACTTATTCCTGGTTTATAATATTGTGGAATTTTAGGTTTTATCTATATGTGAGTAAGAGTTGTTTTTTTAAAATAAATTATGTGGACTAAAGAATTCCAATGTGGTAACATAAAATCTGCTTCTACTGCACTTCATGGATCAGTAGAAAATGTTCAACAGAATTCAGAAAAAATATTTTTTAAATGTTATGGTTATATTATTATAGTGTAGTTGTTTCAAAGATAGAAGGTAAAAAAATCAATATAATAATAGTTCTACATGTCTTGATAATATTATTCCACCAGTAATTTTATCTTTTTCTTGTGTTTTTAATTTGCTATAAAGAGAAAATTGCTAGCAAAGCCAGCATGCAAAATTTTGTTTATTTTAATTTGGATAATGTAAAAGTTCTTAAGTACTTAATTAAGAGAGAATTTTATCACAGTCTATAAGACATTCTAATGAGATTGAATAATGTCCCCACTTTTAAAAAAGGTATTAATTTTAAAAATCTTTTATACTTCAGGTTGTTTCCTTTATTTAGTAAGCTGACTACAGGGAAAACTCAGTTGTTTTAACAATATTTCATCTCTATGTCTATAGAACAATTGTCATATGATGGTATATTTGATTGGAGAGTCTGTATGTGTATATAAAAGTTTTATAATGAGATCTCCTAGCTCTACTTTGCAACACAACATTAAAGCAAGTGTAAGAAAAACAGTACTTTAAACTAAGGTGTTATATAATATGCAGTATTATCGTCTGGAATGTAAAGATGAGTGCTACAGGTAAAGTTTATTATAACAGACACCATTTCCCCCTTTATACTATGCCATTTCTTTGAAAAATAGTACAAAAATAGCTCTAGTTGGTATCCAGATCTGAGTTCAAAAAGGAGTTCTGTTCAGAACATTCGAGGCCTAAACTTCTCAAACCAGACAGTACAAAGTTTTAAGATTCCACCCCCAGAGATTCTAATTTAATTGGTGGAGAGTAGCTCCAAGGTTGTTAAAATTATAGTTTGTTGTGAAATTCTTATTTACAGAATTGAGAGTCATTGGTACTTCTTTTTATTGTCTGCTGGGAATATATGGTTTTAAAAGGGCAGACAAACTTATGTGCCGGGACACAATAGAATATTCAAACAATGATTTTACAATTAGTTTGTCTGAGCAATAGACAAGTTGATGAGCATCTATAAAACATGATTTCCTCATCTCACAAATGACCAAATTCATTGATTTAGATGATTTCTGAATTTCTTTTAGTTCTAACACTCTACATTTATTTTAAGCTCTGATCGATTAAATTTCTATGAGTCAGGGAAAAGATTTCCATACTGCAAGAGTTAAACCTTTAAATATATTTTTAAAGGTAACAGGATATTATTCCTTTTCTGTCATTTTATTTTTCAAAAATCCTTTATGTTGATCTTTTTCCATTTATTATATGTTTCTTATCTCAGTAAACTGGGGCAAAATTCTTAAGAATGATTATGTTTAGTTGGAACAAAAGAGGAAAGATAATAGCTACTTTTTATAGATTTGTCTAAAATCCTTCTGCAACAAAATGGAAAATTAAGAAATCAAGTAAGTTTTTTTCTGACTCAAACGTTTTTAAAGTTCTTTTCCCCTGTAAAAATTATTCATAGCTCAAATTTCTTCTTCTCTCCTTTCATCTTTATCTATTTTCATAATATGGGATGTCATCAAAATGTAAGAATCAAATTTGCACAAAAATGGGAGGGTTGAAAGAAGGGAATGTGAAACAGAAAGAATAAAAAGCCAACATTTTCCAGGTGTACTTAACACAACACCCCGTTCACTTTTGAGTTAAGCAGTAAAAATAGACATAGTGTTATCACCAATAAAAATGCTCTGTCTTGTGCCTTTGCTTGGTTTAGCAAGCTGGCAATTCTGCACCTAGTAAAAGTTTCACCATTTAACTTACGTATGATTTTATGCAGATTTTGACCACCCTGGGTCTCAGTTTCTTCATGTAGACCATAAACTTGTCAAATATAATAATATACACTATAAAAGCAGGTTTGTGAAACATTTAGACTTTCTGAAACTTATTCAGTTAAAACTAAGTTTTTCTTAGTTTGCTTGGACTTTTATTTCCTGTCAATAATGCGAGAAACACAATAAAGTTCAGTAATATTGGTATAAAAGCACTGTAGCACTGTCCTCCCATTGTTCATCGATTTGCTCAAGCAGGTACCAGTAACGTTTTCATTGTGGGACTTGTTGTTACTGTTTTTGGCATATCAAATACGTCATGGGTAGCTTGCCAAGCTTTGCTGTCGGGGTGGGATACTTTCTGTAGCTTGCCGGGCTCTTCTAGAGGGGTGGAGAATTGAACCCAGGTCGGCCATGTGCAAGGCAAATGCCCTACCTGCTGTGCTATCACTCCGGCCCACTGGGATAAATATTTAAGAAAATATGTAGGATACAGTAGGCATTTAATTAACTAAATACTATATTTTAAATTTAGACTTTCTGTGAGGACTTAATCAGATCACGAATATTTAGTGCTTGATACACAACAGATCAATATTGGTACCTGTATTCTAGATCATTTTTAAAGTATAATTCATTAAAGATAGATAAAATAAGGGCTATGTGATTTTTCTCCACCACAATGGAAAACATAACAACATAAATAGTTTATTCTCTTAAACAATGTTACATAATCTTTGGGTCTTCAAGTACATCCCTAGGAGGTATGCATGTGTAGGAAGTACTTTTCCGTAATTTGCTTTAATTTTTGTACACTATTTTTATAATGTGTTGTTTGAGTTTTATGAGATAATAATAAGTACACATTATTTGGGAGCTTGAAAATTATTTTTAGAAGTCAGAAATTACTGTTTTTGAGTACTGACCCTGCAGACACCAGTCATTCAACTGTGAGAGGAAAAGATGCCTAAGTGATCATAATATGGTTTAGTGATGAGCTGCAAATTCCTATAATTTTATTTAAGATAACCATGCATTCACTGCTTTCCCCTTTTTTGCAAAAATCTGAACCTGTGTTTATGTAAAAAACCCAACTTGAGAGCACAGTAAAGAGAATACTGATAATATTCAGGTATAGAATGGCAAATGTAATGGTTCCCACACCAACAAATATGGTAAGGAAATTGCATCCTTTATTTGACTTTGAAAAGTAATTTGGTCTCTACTTCAAATCACAAATTATAGTAAGTTGCCTTTAAGTTAATTGGGATAGTGTCACAACACTCTAAACCAATGTTGTTCAATTGTTTTATACCTGCAGATTGGAACTTGTCTGCACACCCAGACTGTACATGGGCAGTTAGGTAGTTATCACTGAGGGAAAGCAGTAGTTTTTAAGTTTATTCTTTTTTAATTTTGGGTGGGGGTGGGTTCATACAACCAGAAGTGTGCAGGGATTACTCCTGACTTTGTATTCAGGGATCACGCCTGGTGGGATTGGGGGAACTATATGGGGTGACTAGGATTGAACCCAATGCAAGCCGTATAAAAGACAAGTGCCTTACTTGCTGTACTCTCTCTGCCTCATGGTTTTCAACCTTTCTCACCTGTGGACCAGCTCTGGTCTGTGGATCAGTAGCTGAAGATTTGCTTAAAGTAACAGAGCTAAGTGGCCCCACAATTTGATATATGTTTACTGTCAGATAACAATTTTATTTATTTGTATTCACATTTAGGATTTAAGCATGAAATGAAAAAAAGCATGAAATAAATACAAATGCAGATGTTTCTATAACTGTTTCTAGAGCACAAAACATTTGGTGGAAATACTATAAAGGAATTGCTTTGTGTATTCATGACCCAAACCATATGTTATTAGAACAGGATGTATAATTTTAAAACTGTCCTTAGTTCTTGTTTTGATGATTAGATTTTATGGCTGGGTAATTACACTCTAGAATCTAGATGAATTATAAATAAGATGTATAAAGGATTAGAGGCAATGGATTGTGGAGAACACCTCAGGTACTTTATTATGATGAGATAAGCATTATCCCTATAATCTCTTCACTAAAATATTATTGTAATTATTAACTGTAAATCAGAATTTAAGTGAAATTCACAGAAAATAGATGCCGTCACTGATATGAATAATAATTTGTTATCTTTATATTTTTTATTAATTTACATGTATATAATTTGTGTTAATTTATATTTTATACAAATGAAAATGAGTATAAAGTATATTTCAAAATATACTATTTTTAAAGCCTACTAATTATAAAATGACATTTTAAACATATAAGCTTTAACATGGAATATAGGCATTAAAATAGTTTGATGGTTTATTAATATTTTTGTTCATAAGTGAATAGCATTACTCTTTAGATACAAAATAATGTAGTTGCAAATACATTGTCTCCTTAAGATATATGAAGCTAGTCTTACTACTATAACTATTTTACAGCAATATGATATTGGATAATCATAAAGTTTGGACTTCAAACCCTAATTTTTAATTTTATAGACTGGATAATTAGACAACTATATAATAGCCAAGACTTGTAGTACAAAAGAATATTTATTAAAATAATAAACTTGTGTCTCTTGAATGAAGAAGATCTCAAAATGTTTTGTCTCCTATATTTAAATGCATTGCGCTCATTGGGAAAAAAAGATATTTTATATTTGTCATATTTACTGCCTCATTTATCAGTTGTATACTATGTGAGCATACATACATTTGAGTGAATACTGCATGTAACTGTTACAAACATTTATATATACTATGCACATTATTAGTGGATATAATTCAGATATAAGACATATATCATGTATTTATGTGTGAGTTAAGAATTATGGTTAAAAATGAAATTATTAAAAAAAGAAATTATTTTATTACTTATTAGACCAAAATAGATGCATTCAAATATTTACCATCAAAAGTAGTCGTGAATAAGCAAAGATTTAAAGTTATTCCAAGGACATTTCACAAATAATTTAAAATTGTTCTTATTAAGTCATTTCATAAATTCTGTGGAACCCACAGGATGCTAAAGGATATAAAAAGTACTTTAGAAAAGGGCTTCATATATATTTTTCACTGAAATTAATCTTATTAGGGTTGATAAATAAATGACATACCCAAGTGGTAGAGCTAGGTACAATTGCAAACCAAAATTCATTTTTTATTTCTTTATAACATGCCACCTACTAAGAGATATATATTCATATTAGGTCAGCCACACATGCTAGGGGAAAAGGGAGCTCAGATAGAGAAGGGAGCACCAAATAAAGGGTGTTGGGAGGATACTCCCAGTATGGGAGAAGCATGCTGAAAGTAGACTATAGACCAAACATGATTGCCACTCAGTGCCTCTTCTACACACCACAACACCCAAAAGGAGAGAGAGAACAGAGGGGAATGCCCTGCCACGGAGGCAGGTTGGGATGGGGGGGATAGGGAGTGGGAGGGATACTGGGATCCGTGGTGGTGGGAAATGGGCACTGGTGGAGGGATGGGTATTTGATCATTGTATAACTGAAATCCAAGCACAAAATGTGTAAGTCTACAACTTTACCTCATGGTGTCTCACTAATAAAAATTTTTAAAAAATGCCTTTAAAAATCAGGAAAATAAAGAGATATATACTCATATTAAAGGTGCACTGAAATTTTGACTTGGAGCTATCAGAAGCTATCATGTTCTATAATTTAAAAAAATCCTCAAGCCTATTTTAAAAGAATAAAATTATAAATAAGTACAGACATGTATAAGTGAATACAATTAATAAATTAATAAATATAATTAATTACTAGCCTCCACTAGGATATCTGCTTTTGAGTTCTAAGATTTTCAGTATTTATTCATCAAAAGGAAGTGAATATATTAAAATATCAAACTTGTATACACCAATTCATCTGACTAACGAATTCTTGCTATAGGATGTATTAGGTACTGAAGGCCCCTTCCAAGTCAGCCTTTCAGTTGTTCCACTGTGGAGAGAACTGAGATGTACCTGGGAGAAGAAAGCTTGACTGCAGTTACTCAAGGAGTTGGGAATTTACTACTGTCTAAAACTGACTTAATGTCAAAATATAAATAGCCTTCCAGAAGATGGAGATCTAGAAAACTTACCAGTTCAAGAGAATTAAAAAATCTCAGAAAGTAGAATAAGCAATTTGTTTATTTGTAGTATATAGGTCCTTAAAAATACCTGTGTTGGGCACTGGAAAGATAGAACAGCTGAGAGGTATTTAAACTTTCATGCAGCCAGCCAGAGTCAGATTCCTTGCCTCTTATAAACCCTGTCAGGAGTGATTCCTGATCACAGGAACAGGAGTAAGCACCGAACACTGAGAGGTATGGCCCACAAAGAAAGAAAGAAAGAAAGAAAGAAAGAAAGAAAGAAAGAAAGAAAGAAAGAAAGAAAGAAAGAAAGAAAGAAAGAAATCTGAGCTGAAGGGAACAGCCTGATATTGGTCACATGAATGATTCTATGTCTTTCTTAAGAAGTTTTCTAAATCTGACATAATTTTATCATAATCATTGCAGTGTAATGTTTCTAACTGGAGAGTGCTTATATTAAGAAAATGGATCATATGTATATGTATATATATACATATATATTTAGGTCTATGAAAACATTCTTACAGTCTATTTATTTGATTTTTTTTAAATTACATTTGTATAATTTTAATATTTATGGAGCGATAGCACAGCGGTAGGGTGCTTGCCTTACAAGCAGCCAACATGGCCGACCTGAATTTGATTCCTCCGCCCCTCTCGGAGAGCCCGGCAAGCTACCGAGACTATCTCGCCCGCACGGCAGAGCCTGGCAAGCCACCCGTGATGTATTCGATATGCCAAACACAGTAACAACAAGGTCTCCAATGGAGACATTACTGGGCCCGCTCGAGCAAATCGACGAACAACGGGAGGGCCTTTACCTTTACCTTTACATATTTCTCTTCAGTTGTGATTTCTACTTCTAGATAACAGTCACATCATTCTTACTGGGTGTCAAAGTTTGAGTGAAATATTGAATACAGCAGCCTGAGTGTATATGAAAGTAAATCTAACTGCAGTGAAGCTACTTTCTCGTGGCTGGTTAAGTTGCTGATCATCAGTGAGCAAGAGTTAGCTTACCTCGCAGGACAAGCCAGAGTAACCTGGGGGACAATCACATTTTTCTATCAAGTGAGCTGCTGGAGTCAATGCCGTTACTTGTCCTTGTTCAGCCACCTCCATGGAGATTTCAGAAATCCTGGAAATAGAACATATACTTAGATTATCATGCCAATAAACTATGCTCACTCGCCACCATACAAAAAGTCTTTTCTGTTTGTTGACAATACACTTCAAGCTTGTTCGATTGTTATTTGAAGACAACCCAAAAGCCAGTACCCAAACTATGTATCTTCTTATTGCATGTCTGCATCCTCAAAGGTTGAGAATAAACATTAGCAAAATATTCACATACATCTTAAGGAGTTTTTTAAACTAGATATCTGATGTCCTGTTGATTAGTTATAAAGATTTCATCCCCCCCCCTTTAAAAATATGGGTGGCTTCAGGTGGAACATGGTCAATTAATTAGACATTTACCTCTTTTCAAGCAGACAACCCAAGGTTATTGCCTGTTAGAATATCCCCTAGGATATCCACTAGGAAAATTGCTTTTCATTTGCAACTTCAATTTCTTCCTCTTGAGTCTCTCTGAATGCCCTTTCTAGAACTTTAGGAAATCTCAAAAAATGAGTAAACACAAGCTAATAATACTGAAGTTTTTCTGAACATGAGAGGATTTCAAAGTACCATTTTATTAACTTCATTAATTAAAATCTTCAAGCAACTGAATCACTATCCCTATTGGTGGAAAGAGCCCTATTATTAAAAAAATAATTATTCAGAGTGAAGCTATTATAACCTTTTTATTAATTTGAAAGGATACATTAAAAATACATGCAGTCCATAAACTCAGACTATTTAATGACGAACATGAAATGTTCTGCAAATAAACTTTTAAATGAGACAATAAATAGATTTGCTTCAATAAAAGACATCTCCAACAGCTTACAGAACTTGAATCATACACTTCATAATAAGCATAGGTAGACATTATTGATACTGAATATAAAAGAACACTCTGGCTTTGATAGTCTGGCAACATGCACTAAGAATATCAGCCACCTTTTAGAAAATACACGTTCAGTTACTTCTCCTACTAACAGCTCCCAAAGTAGTTGGTGTTGTAAACAAACCAGGTCCTTTCTAGAAAGAACTCAGCTTTTCTGAATCCCGAATAAACAAACAGGAAGGCAACGTGGTGTCTGTTGAAAAGTTCATGCTCACTGACATTACCTTTTTCCCTTTGCTTTGCTTTGGAGCCACATCTCACATCTGGCAGTGCTCATAGTTTATTTCTATCTCTGTCCCCAGGGATCACTCCAGGCAGTATTTGAGGAACCATATGCGGTGCCAGAGCTACAGTCAATGTATGTGACTTAACCTCTGTTCTATCTCCCCAAGCTGTGCATTCTAGTATTTTATAGAGTAGGAAGAGACTCATATGTTCAAAATAGAATAGGGACTATTTTAAAACCAGGTGAAATAAGTAATGTCAGCAGTATGTATTTCTATAATCGACCCACCTTGTACAAGTAACTGTTTAGAGAACAACAGTTTTGCCTGAAACAGGTCTGGCAAAATTCACATTTCTCTTTAAAAGAATACTTGAAAAAACATGTATTGATGGCCTTCAAATAAATGTAAAAAAAGATATAAACAACAAAAAGAAAAAGAAAATTTTAGCACTGACAAAATCATAAAGCCTGTATTTCACAACACATGTATAATGGCTTTAGCTTTCTGTTTCTGAGACAAGTTGAATTTGTAACTCAAAGAGACACATTTATGCCATATAGGCTCTGAGGGATTTTTCAGTGCATGTATATTTTGTTTATTTGTTTGGAACACATATGCCAGTGCTCAGGAGCCATGCGGTGCCAGGGATCAATTCCAGGGCTCTTGCATACAAAGCAAGTTCTGCAGTTCCTTCATCTTTTCCTCCAGCCTTCAAGGACATAATATTTTACTTTTGACACAGTTCCCCTGTTTTAGAAAATCAAATAGTAACTTAATGGGGGTTTTTTTGGTTGTTGTTCTAATGTTAGCTAGACTATGAAAAGAATTGAAAATTTATTCTATATATTTTTTTAAAAAATGCCTTTTAGGCCAAAAATATTATTATTATTAGTGAAACAAAGTGATAATAGAAAGAGACTTAAGGGTAAAAAATGATGGTAACAAATTTCAATCAGTACTACAAAGGAAATGAAAATATAATGAAACATGCATTCTCATACAGTGTCTCAGTTCTACAAACAAAATATCCTTATACTCTTTTATAACAGTACACTTTATAAAAAATGTATCTGTGCACTCCCAAATTACCTTATATAATTTTGGTACACATTTTTAACATTTTGCATAAATCAATATCCCATTATTAGTGAGATATATAGATAGATAGATAAAGGAAAATATAGGAATAAAGATTTAAAAGTAAATTTGATCCCTGATTTATTCTTCTTCTACAACAAAATAATTGTTATCTATTTATTACAGAGCAAACATTTGAAATATGCTAATTTTATATTCAATCATTTCTAATAAGAGAAGTTTGAGGCTATTTTTACTTGATTTTCCTAAGCATATTGACTAATTTATAGAAATATGCTATACACACACACCTAATCATTCTATATTTTTATAGATTTTACCACAAAATTAACATGCCAGAGAAATTGAGACTCTATGGATAAACTCAACTCCAACAACTACATTATATGCAATTCCTTACTTTATCTCATTAGATAAGATAAACTTTCCTCCTGAGAAATATGACAATGAGTGCTCATGATGATGAAATTTCCTAGCCTCTCTGTTATTTTTTCACTTTGTTCTACTGTTTTTTTTTTATTGTTTATGAGCGATACCCAGCTGTGTTCAGGGTTTACTTCTGGCTCTGTAGTCACGGGTGACTCCTGGCAGTCCGAAAAATATAACCTGGGTCAGTCACAAGCAAGAGAAGTGATTTAAACAAAGTACTCTCTCTCTCTCTCTCTCTCTCTCTCTCTCTCTCTCTCCAGCACTGTTCTATCATCGTTAATGTATCCATTAACTCTTACTAACTTTCACCTCCCTTATTTTAATTTTGTAAACATGCTTAATTTGCTCTTAGCCATTTTTTGATCTTTTATACTGTATATCTCTCTTTTTAAATATTATGTCCATGGAAAACAAGTTTATACTCATTATTACATTCATTGGGTCAATTCATTATTCAAAATTTTGAGACTGTTTCTCTACCAGTATGCCACCAAAAATGATCACTAGTTATGGTTAACAAGAGGAATGTTATTGATGTGAATCTAAGTGTCAGTTTCAGAAAGCTTCATCCCTGGACCATGGAAAAACAGTCAACATCCTCTTGAAATGTTTTCACTCTTTGACTTTCATGATTCCACATTCATTTCTCCTTTAGTCTTGTGTTCTATTCTTTTAAATGGATTCACAATTGGGCCCTGAGAGATAGTATAGCAGATAGGATGTTTTCTGTACATGTGGTCAACCAAGATTTAATCCCCAGTACACTTTCTGACCCCCTGAGTCCCACCAGAATTGATCCCATGGGCACAGAGTCAGGAGTAAGCTCTGAGCACCTCTGGGTATTATGATTTAAAAACCAAAAATTTAAAAAAAAATGAGTTCACAATTTTATACCATCCTAAGAGACAAAAAAATGACAATATTTATGGTTCAATACAGTCAACAACTGTGAATCCCATGGTTGAATAATATTGTACTTGGTCCTATCAGGTTCCCTTCAGAGTAGCTCAAAATATATGCACAACAATTAATTTATCTCTGCTCTACAGAATATCTTCCCCAAATTTATGATTTGCACCTAATACTCATTATGTGGAAAATGAATTCAGTATTCTCTCCATTAAACTGGCTTCTCATTCTATCTTTCTTTCAGACGGGAATGTCAATAACTTCTACAAAGTGACCTGGAAAGTCATTTCTGACTTACTATCACAATACTTCCAAACCAACCACTTCTAAATCTTTATAGTCTGATATCACCTTTCTGCTCACCCCTATAGTAACTAGAATAAGAAGTTAACTTAGAAATTTTCTAGTAGAGTTTACCTGCTTTGTCGCATGACATTTCCATAAGTAGCCTTGATAAGAATATAGTGAATATCATATAGAGTATCCAAGAAGTGTTCACGGGTCACAGTTCTACTTATTCGAGGGTCATCTCCATAGTATTTCCATTCTTTCTGTTAATAAGAGATAAAGATCATGTCAAGGAAACTGAATGCAAAACTATTAGCATCCTTGCTCCAAACACACTAAACGTCTTACCTCTGTCATTTCAATTTCATGCCTTGTCAATTGGCCATTTAGAGGAGCAGCCATATGCCTGACGATAACTCTAGCATGAGTAGGAGTCCCACCTCGAATGATCACTTGAGGGTTGTAAGTAGAGAAGCCTGTTTCATCTCGAGCTTCAAAATAGATTGTATACTTGAGTTTGCCACCGTAAGCCAACAACTGCCAAAATAAAATGAGGAGCGTTGAGTTAGGTGAATTCCATAAGTTTGCTTTCATTTTTTTTAAACTTGTTCTCAAGTGAATTCAATTTCTTTTCCCTTACCTTCTTTCCTTCAAATTGTTCTGGAAGTTTCCAATAAAAAGGCTCCAAATGGAGCTCTTGTTTCACGAGATTCATCTGTGCAACAATCTCTGGGTGTTGAAAAGCAATGCCTTTGGTGGTTGTGTGCTGCAGTGCCTCATCCACCAGGGGGAGAATGGTCTGCTCAGGTGTCAGGGTAACCTTCAAGGAATCAAAGCACAGCAGGAGACTGATTTCACCATCAATCAACACACCTCTGGGCGCTCTGTAGTAGAGTTCCCTCTTGAAAATAGAACTTCTGCTTATGGTAAGGCAGAACAGGGCAATAATCTTTCAGACCTGTTTGCTCAGGGAAAATCACAGCATCTATAAAATGTGCAGTCCTTTATACTAATGAAAAAGAATATAAACATGAAAAGAATTAAGGAAAAGTCAAAGAATAAATAAGCAAGTTTCAGTCCCCAATACTGATGATTTCTGGTTGGAATAAATGTGCAACAAGTTTTGGTTTTCAGTGCCTCATTAGCATGTATCAAGGGACACGCTTGGCACCCTCACTTCAGAAGTCAGCTTCTCCCCATCCCCAAGCCTGCTGTCTTGACACTGTTGTTTTCTTTTTATCACTTGGCATCTATTTCTTTATCTACAACAAATTGACTATTTTTAAAGAAAGAATAAAAAGGTATTATCTCCAATTGTCTAATGATGCATGATCCCTACACCATCTCTAAATGTTCATGAAGGAAACGTTTTGCTGCAAAATGTGCTGCTTCATCCTATCCCTCAGTGCCTGGCTAAAAGACATCAGCAGGAATTCACATTATAACATTACATGGCTCAGCGGCTCCTTACTCACCCGCGTACGAATCAGTCCTTTTGCTTCAGAGCACTGAGTAGTAACACCGAAGCAGTAGCAGCTGCTGCAGCCAAGAGGATTCTTGGCATCGAGTCCAAATTTGCCTGGCTGACACTTGTCACAATGGATACCTTCCACATTCACCTGAAGAAAGACAAAAGTTCTCAGAATCCATACAGGATGTGATGAGAGAAATTAACTTGAGAATGAATAAAAAGAGCATATATTTTTGAAGATATGGTGAACTCTAAGAATTAGACTCACATCCCAGATGGCATAGGTAGTTGATTTCATGATTTCTGAAATCCTTTATTTATAAATATGCACATTAATTAGCATATTATTTTTAAAAAGTCTCTGCTGCTCATTTTGTGCAATTACTGTGTGAGAAACATAAGTCATAATAATGTATAAAAGCAATTTGAAATCATTGATTTTTATATTATTCAAATTTATAAAAAAAATGCAATAGCACAGTGGGTAAGGCTTTTGCCTTGCACGCGGCCGACATGGCTGACCTGGGTTTGATTCCTCTGCCCCTCCCGGAGAGCCCAGCAAGCTACTGAGAGTATCTCACCCACAAGGCAAAGTCTGGCAAGCTACCCGTGACATTTTTGATATGCCAAAAACAATAAAAACAAGTCCCACAATTTGTTTTGAGATGCTACTGGTGCCCACTCGAGCAAATCAATGAACAACGGGAGGACAGTGCTACAGATTTATTTTTGACACATTCATAATGACACATTTATCTATAGTGTCATAATAAAATGGATACACTAACATGTCTATACATGATATAGTGTACACTCTTAATTTTAGTATTAACAGAACAGCCTGTACTTTGTTTTTTGATGAAACCCTTGAGTGGCAGAACTATATGACAAAGATTATTTTAAAGGCTATCATCCAGACTTCATCCTCCTGCTTCTTGTGTTCCTTCTTGCATAAACTTTTTCTTGAAAATATACATCTGACATAGTCTTAATTGCATTTATCCTAGAATTGATTTCCCAGAAATAACTAAGGGTGGAAAAACCTTCTTATATTTTTTAATTGGATGTTTTTCTACATCATTTAACAATATTAATGAGGACTAAAATTTTCACATAGCTACTCTTTGTAATGTCAGTGCTTATATGTGATGAAATTTTATAGAATTTCTAGAGTAGTAAATATTTTTTCAGTGTTCAGTGATTGCGGATTAACTTGAGAAGCAAATCTTATTAGTAAGTCTTATTATTTAGCTGTGATTTTCTGTGATGATGTTAAATTCTCTTTTCCTCTCCCATATTGTTCTTGTGTAAACAATGCAAATATTTAAGTGCAAGTTTATCATTGTCATTGAGAATGTATCATTTCTGCAAACTAAGGGGAAGGTAAAGTTTGGGTTGTCAACAGGTTCTTCAAAAACAATTTTATTTCTATGTCAATAAACTGTCCTCCCATTGTTCATCGATTTGCTTGAGCGGGCCCAGTAATGTCTCCATTGTGACAATTGTTACTGCATTTGACATATCGAATACGTCATGGGTAGCTTGCAAGGCTTTGCCACGGGGGCGAGATACTCTCAGTAGCTTGCCGAGCTCTCCGAGAGGGGTGGAGGAATCGAACCAGGGTCGGCCATGTCAGCCGCGTGCAAGGCAAATGCCTTATCCACTGTGCTATGGCTCCAGCTCATGTCAATAAACATATTGAGTAAAAGCTGGGGTAATGAGTTTAGGTGTAGGTTTATAAAATAGCAATAATGACACTAAATCATATAAAAACTGAACAATGGGCAAGACAGATAATATAGGGTTTAAGGACATGCCTTGGGCCAGAGCGATAGTACAGCAGGGAGGGCATTTGTCTTGCACTCTACCAACCCGGATTGGATCCCCAGGATCCTCCCAAGTACTGCCTGGAGTAATTCCTGAGTGCAGAGCCAGGAGTAGCCCCTGAGCATTGTCAGGTGTGACCCAAAAAGCAATAAAATAAAATAAAAATAAGAAACATGCCTCACATGCACAACACCAGCTTAGTCTCTAGCATCTCATGGTTCCTGAACGTTGCTGGGTGCCGTGTGCTGTCCTGGTTCTCTGGGCACTACCAGAGTGGCCCAGGCTACCCCAGCATTGTAGGAACTGCCTGCACAGTTAGCAGAGAATTGCAGTGATAAACCCACATACCCTCTGAACAGTTTTTTGGAAGGCCTGCCTCCCAAATTAAAAGAAGCAAGCAAACAAGCAATGAAAATACAACCAAGGGAGGTAGTTTTCTTCCCATATTTAGGCGGCACATACCTTACAAGTGCACTGCCCCACTTTGTCGCTGCAGAAGCACTTTTTTGTTCCTGAATCGCAGGTTGAGTCATCAGTGCCGGGAAGGAAGCAATCACAGGGAGTGCAGTGTGGGAAGTTCCAGTGACCTTGGCTACACTCCGAACATTTTGCTCCTGAGAATTTTGGATGACAGTTGCACTGGCCAGTGTTTATATTACACTGGAAATCCAGAGAGCCCTCTGTGCTGCAGTTACAAGCCTATGGAAGAGGTAAAAACAGCAACCATTAACACCATTTTATGGAAAATACCTTAAAAATTTAATTCTAGGGGCTGGAGACATAGCAGAGCAGGTAGGGCGTTTGCCTTGCACACGGCCGACCCGGGTTCGATTCCCAGCATCCCATATGGTCTCTGAGCACCGCCAGGAGTAACTCCTGAGTGCAGAGCCAGGAGTAACATCTGTGCATCACCAGGTGTGACCCAAAAAGAAAAACAAAAAACAAAAAACAAATTAATTCTAATTATTCCACTTCTATTACAAGACTATTAATCAAGGGTCTATTATCTGCTTAGTACTGTTCTGTTCTAGTTAAGTCACTTGGGAAATCAGTGTATGTAGCATTAAAATTTCTTCCAGCATTTACTATAACATATGCATCCAGAAAACATAATGCTGATGGGTAAGGAAACAAGGTTTCTAGGTCTTTTTAGAGCAAAGAGGATTTAGATATCACTGTTCTTCTATCACTTTGTTTCAAAGACTGAATTTTATGCCGTCATTTAACATTCTTGTAGCTTTCTAAGTTGTTTAGTGACATACTTCATAGTTTAGTGGATATAGACAGGTGAATACACAAATGCAGCATGAAGGAATAAACATTATATTATAGAAGTTATAATACTATGAGAACATCAAAAGAGCACTAAACCAGATGTGTGGAAACTAGAAATAATTTAGATGAGAAGTGGCATCTCGGATGTTGGCTTTGACATTTATTTTTGCAGCAAACCTTGATGTTAGACTCTCTGCTGGTAACCTTTTATCGTCTTCCTGCAGATACATAGTAATTTTCTGTTTATGTAATTCAAAACTTTGCTTAAATTTTTTAAAGTTTGAGTCTTTTTTCATAAGTTTACTTGAACATGGTGAATTCTTTCAATTTGAGAACACATCTTTTTGACTCAATGCTATTTCTTCAATTTAAAAAAACTTTTGCTCAGTTTATCAATTGTTTTTTGCAGAAAGCCTATGATTCTCAATGAAATTTTTCATCTGCCTCAAATCCATAGTGCCCTAATGTCTTCTGTTGTAATTTTTATATTTCTCACATTTATTATACATTTTATAGCTCTCAGTTCAAATAATGAAAATTCCATGACATGTAAGCTCTACCAACATATATTTTAATTACACTATTGCACATTTTTCATCTTTTCAATGATTTCTTTATTTCGTCTCACTCTTGTTCAATTTCTGCCCATATCTATATAGTTCGATCTTATATTATTTTATGAGTTAAACAGCTTGTCTCTTTTCAATTAAATAAAAAAAAAGACAAGCAAATTTCTATAATGCTGGTTAGGGTCTTGACATAAATAGAATTCAGAGATCAGATATGCCAGTGATCAATCCACCCCACCCTCAGCCCCCTGAGCTCTGAATTCTCTCCCCTTGCTTTGCGTTGTAATATGTGTTAGGCACTCTAGACATTTCTCTCTGCCCAGGTAGCAGCAGAATGATACATATGATAAACAGAGGACCTTTAGAAGGATTCAGTAAAGCTGATTAGAAGAATTCAGTGGTATGTAGATAACTAGTTTTCTAATATGTCTCTTCAATACTGTCCTGATCATTACAATTATTTTATTTTTTGTAATGGGATCCCAGGAAATAATTCTTGATGAGTCCTCGGGGGCTTCTCTTTGGGTGGCTAGGTCACCGTGCTTTGGTCATGATAGACTGTGTTGTCATATCACATCCACCAACAATAGCATTAACCTTCTATAAAACCAGTTCTTGAGAGAAAACACTGCCAACAGTGTTATCATTATCACGACCGTTTCTGTTCTACCACAAGAAGGGTGTGTGTTCCTCTGGTGGTGATACATTTTTGCTCTGAAACAGGATGACTGGGGATGGACTGAGAAGTATAGTAATCTGTCCTAGTCCTTGCTTCTTGTACTGACTGAGGAGAATTAGTGCTTCTTTTGTTCCTTATAGTTCAGGGTATCTTATGTTCTTTGATTTGTTTTCAGTAACCAGTTTCATCATTCAGTTAATGATTTATTTTATTTTCCATTTAAATGATGAATATGTTTTCTTTCTGCCATGTGAGTCCTAGTTTGATACCAAAGTGGGTATCACCTCTGTGTTTCTGATGTATAGTGTTTACATTTTTTTCTGTGGCTTGACTCTATTTTGATAATGTTCTGTTTTCTTGTATCTATAGTTTTATGCAGACTCTGAAGCATAACAATGTGCCAAATACCCATAATCAAATCTGGCTGTATTTTACTTTGTATTCTCACCTTCATTGCACAAATCAATCCTTGTATTAAACACTAGTGGGGATACTCTTGATTCTGCTTTTGTCAACAGTAGTTTGCCTATAAGGCTATTCCTTATAGAATATGAAGTACCATCACCATTTGCTATCTATTATTTTCTATGCAAATATTTGGCAAAGTATATTCCTAGACTTTGATGTTAAAATAACAACCATGTCTTTTTCCTGAGTCCTACTGATGAAATATTTTTTGTCTGGCTTCATTATAATTCGCAAAGAAGAACTATATTATGCACATAACTAAAGTATTTTAAACACACATATCCAAGCTGTGATTGTTTATTATGTTATTAACATATATATAACTTCAAATCGCAGAGTCTATAACATTGCCATTACTTCAAGTAAGGCATTCTTATAGGTTATCAGATATTGAATGAAAATTTAAAATGAATATAATTGATTTATTTATTTTGATATGTTCATTAGACTCATTAAATATGGAACACAATTAGAAATAGAAATATTTTAAAGAAAATGGAATTGCACAATATATTTTTAACATTTTAAAATAAGGGGACATCTCTATTTTTATAATATGATATGTCTTCTACTAAGTTTTTGTTGTATCAAACCAAAGAACCAGTTGAGAGTACAAATAGACATTATTAACTTTCCAAATCAGTAAGTTATAGGAGAGAATAAATGAGACCATTAACCATGTATTTGGATTGCCCAATAGCCAACATCAAACTTAAATCATAATTAGATATAATGTTTGTTTAGCATTAGAGGACTTATGCACTATTTGCCTATTTGTGAAAGATGGCAGGCTTTGTATTCTACTCTAATAAAAGCTCTGATGATGTGTGTGCTTGTACCTCAGCACAGAGAAATTATCCATGACACAAAGAAAGGAAAGCTATAAATCTTAAATCGCTTTTCATTTAGATTATAGTCATTCAAGTGTTTTAAATAGTATACTACTACTCATATTGTCATTAATATTTATGAGGTGTTTATAATCTTTCATAATTATTCATAATTATGAAATGTCTATCTGGAAGTTTAGGTTTTTAACAGAGATTCATAGTAATCAAAAATATTAATCGACTTCAGTTGCCATGATGTTTATTCAATGCTAAGTAAATATAATAATATCAAATATGTAGCTATATATTTTTCTAGTAACTTGGTTTATGTTCCATCATGATATATATGTATTCTGAATATATATATATATATATATATATATATATATATATATATATATATATCATTTGGCACCAGAGTTAGCTCAAGGTTTTCATTAAAAGTTTGGACACATTATAGGATTTGTGAGTAGAATGAAAACCTTCTTAATTTTCTTATAGCTTATTCATGAACTCAAGAAAATGGGTGAAGACTTGGAAACAAAATTAAAAGAATCAAAGTCAGGCATAAAACATATTATTAATACTTATAAAATCTTATTTATAAACTCTTGAGAAATATTTCCTTTGTTTTTGAAAAACAGTTTTATAATCCTTAAAACTTAGAATTATTAGCATTGGAAAACTTAGTTATCCATAAACTTTTAATTTCTCTAATCACAAGTCACTTATAATTAGAAAGCTGAACTTCCTTGAGCAAAGCCTCACTATCCTTGTTTTTTCTCTACTGACTTTCCACAAAACAAGTGTATTCTAAATCAGTATATTCATGGGTTTTTAAATCATATTTGTAAAGGTAGAGTCTATATCTATGCTAATTTATTGGATTAACATTGTTTTTAGAAAGCTCCTATTGAATCAAAGGGAGGTACATTTTAATCATCATTTCACTCTTCTTCAATACAATTTAATTAATTAGAATTACTTTAACTAACATAAAATTGGCCTTATTATTGCTCTGAATTTTACTGGGCACAGTTCAGGCATAACCCTCATTGATCTCTGTGCTACATTGAGTACTAAATAGTAAATGATTTTTTTATTTTTTATGCGTCTTTAGTTTTTTTGTATCTGTTGAATAGTTTATCTCTTTTTTAAGCTGATAAAAGAGAAAGGAAAAGTAGAAAAATAACTTTATAAGGTATTTGATAATAGGAGCCTCAGGATTATGATTTCTGAAGGAATAAAAACAATTAGATTAGACTTAAAGGTAGTTTGTAGACTATAACACAGAAAAAAGAAAAATAAATAAAAACCATCATGGCTGTATTTAGAATTAGAGAGTAGAATTTGGAAAAGTTTAGGAAATTAGAATTTATGAGAAAAAACATAATATACCCCAAAAGATCAATTTCAGTTTTTTTCTTTTTTTTACTCTGAGAACTGAAATACACATGAGAAGAAATAAATGTCATTATGAAAAATAATAGGGCTGAAGCGATAGCACAGCGCGTAGGGCGTTTGCCTTGCACGCAGCCAACATGGCTGACCCGAGTTCGATTCCTCTGCCCCTCTCGGAGAGCCCAACAAGCTACCGAGAGTATCTCGCCTGCACGGCAGAGCCTGGCAAGCTACCCGTGACGTATTCAATATGCCAAACACAATAACAACAAGTCTCATGAAGGAGATGTTACTGGGTCCGCTCGAGCAAATTGATGAACAATGGGAGGACCATGACCGTGACTGTGATGAAAAATAATAATGATAGAAGGTACAAAGTTGTTTCTTCATGCTATGTTGAGAGAAATTGAGTATAACAATTCATACATGACCATATTCCGTTGATCGTCGATTTGCTCGAGCGGGCCCAGTAACGTCTCCATTGGAGACTTTGTTGTTACTGTGTCTGGCGTATCGAATACTCTCGGTAGCTTGCCGGGCTCTCCGAGAGGGGCAGAGGAATTGAACTCGGGTCGGCCATGTTGGCCGCTTGTAAGGCAAACGCCCTACCTGCTGTGCTATATTCATTGTTCTAAATTCATCTTTAGGTGGGTAAATTTTATTGTATCCATTGATTACTCATAAATAGTTGATCTAAGACTCAACATAACTTTTATTTCCTTTACTCACTTATTCCATAATTTCCACAAGTGGTAAATGACACATCATCTATTCTTCTGCAAAGAAAGGTTTAGGAGTCATCTTTAAGTCTTCTTTCTTATATCCTACCTCTAAAAATTTATCAAGCCATATTAGTGCAAAAGCTGGGTAGTCTATAACTTAATAGATGGGCATCAATAGGCCCCAACTTTTGTTATCTCTCATCCATTATTTCTGCAACAGTCTTATGTTACTTTTCAGATAGATGCTTGAGATGATCATTCCTCCTTCTACATCAATGGGACAAATGAAGACCTTTTCAAGTTAAAGACTGATAATGTGACTCTCCAGACTCTTAAATTACTCCTGTCAGTTGAAAGCAGGTTTAATTTAGTGCAAATTCATATAGATTTTTGGAAAATGATTTTAGTAAGTTTGTCATTTCTTTGTATCTTGCAGGTATATTTCACTAAGTGTTATGTTTTTGGTATTTATTAGTATGTAGGGTTCTTTTTTCTTTTTCTGATAGACCTCATAGATGAAACTGCATATATGTGCTTGGTTCATTTTTCTTAAAAGTAGAATACTGATCAATATTTGCAATCACACTACAGTGATAGCCTTATATTATTTCGTAATATGATGCTGGATTTGAAATAACTAACTATATAGCAGTGGCAACATAAAAACCTTAAAAATTATAAGTTGAATAAAAGCAATTTACTCACCTTACAACCAGTGATAATACTGTGGCCCCAGGTATTAGGTGCACATTTTGAACATTTCTCTCCAACGGTATTGGGAGGACAGATGCATCGACCAGTTTTTGGATCACAATTATTACCCAGATGAGCACAGTCACAAGCTTCACAGATGAAAGGACAATAAAAAAGATACAAAATGTTGAGCTTTATATTATTTGTATTTTATTCTTATACTATGTTTTAAGATTACTGAACTGGAAAAATTAAGTATATACAGAAGTGTTGTTCAACAAAAAATACATTAAAATTATTTCTCAAATGTAAAACATTTCTAACTTTTGGATAAGAAGAGAAAAACGCTTATAAGATTCTTGTCAATTTGTTTTTTTAAACCTATTATAATTTTGTTTGTCTAATTTAAGTTCATATGTAATTTTCTGTTCTGTGTAGATCAAAATTTTCTTCCTGCTGTGACAGACTTGTAATAAAAACCATTGCTCATAATAGGTTTCTTAAATCCAGTATGTCAGGTAAATACTTTTAAATAGTTGAATTATAGCAATATAAATTTAGACCTGTACAGGGGTACTAAATCCCCCTGAACAGTTGCAAATTTATATATATATTATTCCCTAAAATATTAACTACTATTTTGTAGTTGTATTTTTTTGTGAGGAGGGGGTCACCCAGCAGGCTTCTCAGGGCTTACTCTTGTCTCTGTGCTCAAGAATTTCTCCTGACATTGCTCAAAGGACCAATGAGGTGGTAGGGACTGAACATGTGTGGGTCACACACAAGGCAAGCACCTTAACTCCTGTGCTCTTTTCTTGGCCCTGCTGCTACTGTTTTTATCCATAGCAAGTCAATTCACACATATTTTAATGCTACAGATATATAATATAGTAGACTTAAAGTAAGCTAGAAAAATAATATGCTGTTAAAAAAGAAAGTGCATTTGTAATTATTTGAAAAAAATATGCTAAGTAGACTGACATAGTTCAAACCCATATTTTTGTTTTGTTTGTTTTGTTTTTGCTTTTTTGGGGGAGTCACACTAAGCGATGCACAGGGGTTACTCCTCGTTCATGTACTCAGCAATTACTCCTGGTGGTGCTCGGGGGACTATATGGGATGCTGGGAATCGAACCCAGGTCGTGCCACATGCAAGGGAAACGCCTTACCCGCTGTGCTATCACTCCAGCCCCCAAACCCATGTTTTTCAAGGGTCAATTACATATATACACATAAATGCACTATTGAAGTTTGTTTACCAACTGTCTTATTTCCTCTCTTTTCTTTTTATTTGGGGAGACTCACCTGGCAGTGAGCAAGGCTTTCTCCTGACTCTACACTCAGGAATCATTCCTGGTGGTGCTCTGAAGAATATATAGGGGTGGTGAGTCAAGCGTGTCTCAGCAGTAGGGTTGCCTTGCTTTGCACGCAGCTGACTTGGCCATCCCGAGTTTGATTCCTCCACCCCTCTCGGAGAGCCCGGCAAGCTACTAAGAGGATCTCGCCTACATGGCAGAGCCTGGCAAGCTACTCGTGTCATATTCAATATGCCAAACACAGTAACAACAAGTCTCAAAAAAAAGGAGACGTTACTGGGCCCGCTCGAGCAAGTTGATGAACAACGGTAGGACTTGTACTACTACTGGCATGCTGCATGCAAGACAAGTGCATTGCCCACTCTACTATCTCTCCAGCTCCACCTTATTTCTTTTTAAGACATTTTAATTCATTATTCAGAAATAAATGCACGTTGCATTTGTCAAAGAATACAAAAATAAGATTTTAGAACTTCAATGGCATCGGCAACAGGAAATTAACAATAAGAAATGCATGCCACTCTTAGCTAAAGTTGACACTGTTATTGAATATGCTATAGTGTATTTCAAATCAAAGAGGAGAGACCAAATATTTGAATTCAAATAGGAGCATTGATACTCCAAGAAATAAATTTTTGAATTGATCAGAAGACAAGTCAACCATTTGCTGGAACGTATTTGGGCTATCTAATTGAAGTTCATTTTTTTTTTTTGTTTTGTTTTCAGGCCACGCCTGGTGGTGCTCAGGTGCTACTCCCAGATCAGTGCCCATGAATTGCTCCCAGAAGTCCTGAGAGCCATGTGGAGCTGGGACTCAAACTCAGGCATACAGAACGCAAAGGATGTATTCAGATTGATGTGCTTTCTCTCCAGCTTGAAGTTAATTTTTAATATTTTAAGCGATCACAATTATCATTGCTCACAACATCCATGGCAGCAATGAAAAATGTTCAGAGCAATACTTGACGTTAAGTAAGTGGCAAATAAATGTTTAAGTGACTTTGTTATTATTGTTGTTGATTTTAATCCAAAGTACCATACACATACTATCCATCATGGAAAAAAATGTTCACATTATGTCTAAGTGTATCACTGTATCGCTGTCACTGTATCACTGTCATCTTGAGTGTTTGCCAGTAAAGTCTCCACTCATCCCAGCCCTGAGATTTTAGCAGCCTCTCCTTACTTGTCTTTCCCAATGATGCTGTATTGGAGGCTCTTTCAAGGTCAGGGGAATGAGACCCGTTATTGTTACTGTTTCGGGCATGTTGAATATGCCATGGGTAGCTTGCCAGGCTCTGCCTTGCGGGCGGGATACTCTCGGTAATGTCTAAATGTATGTGCTAAAAATTGTCTTAGGACAGTTTAAATCATTTCACATAAATATAAAATTTTAATAGCTGTTCAATAGAATTGTAATATGAAGAGAAGATTACTTGAGAAATTAGTTTTCCCCTTAAAGAAGAGTGTTTACTACAATTGATAATGTTAAAAATAATACTAATAACAATGATAAACACTGCATAGCACTTAAGTGCTATATTTTATTTAAAAGATTTTTAGTCATTAACTCAACCAACTCTTGGAAGAACCCAGTGAAGCAAGACCAGGTTACTCAGTGAAGGTCACACAAATTGTTCCTTTAAACAATTGAAGCTGTTTAGGGTGAATTAGGTTCTCAACCACAACATTAACCTGTTTCGCACTTGATTTTTGTTTTTCTTCTCTGGGAGAGGAAGCTACAGGTTTGCATTTAAAAATGTTGAAAGTATTTCATATTATGTTATTGGTTTCATATTTTCTGGTAGTAGATAAATTTGAAAATATCTTTGGCATAGTACCATTGACAATGTATAGTACCCTTGGTATTTACTCAAATTAAGCAAAATTTATTGATGGCTGAATCTAAATATCACAGTATATTTTATTTATTTATTTATTTATTTATTTATTTATTTTTACTTTTTGAGTGACACCCAGCAATGCACAGGGTTACTCCTGGCTCTGCACTCAGGAATTACTCCTGGCGATGTTCAGGGGACCATATGGGATGCTGGGAATCAAACTCGGGTTGGCCGTGTGCAAGGCAAACGCCCTACCTGCTGTGCTGTTGCTCCAACCCCTTACAGTATATTTTAAAGCATAGTTTTATACATCTTAGTGTATCAACAAATTTGCTAAGATATCACAGACAGATTTCTGGAGAACCAAAAATTATGTATTTCAGAATAATATACAAAAGCTTAATTTATTATAAAACTGTCACTATCACTGTCCTCCCATAGTTCATCAATTTGTTCAAGCGGGCTCAGTAACGTCTCCATTGTGAAACTTGTTGTTACTGCGTTTGGCATATCAAATATGTCACGGGTAGCTTGCCAGGCTTTGCCGTGCGGGCGAGATACTCTCGGTAGCTTGCTGGGCTCTCCGAGAAGGGCAGGGGAATCGAACTCGGGGGCGGTCGACCTGGCCGAGTGCAAGGTAAATGCACTACCTGCTGTGCTATCACTCAGGTTCGTTATATACAATACTCTTCTGAAATTTTTTTAGGTTGGGGGCGCACTAGGGATGCTGAGTGCTAAAGACTCCTTATTAAGGTACAAACAATATAGGGATATCACTTGAATCAGTGATATTGGTAAGCAAAGACAATATTCAACATAATGATTTTTGGAATAAGGGTCAACTTCAAATTAGTAGCATATAAATCAAGACTAATGTTTAATATTTACTTTTATTTGTAGTGCTACTTCCCATTTTCTTAAACCATGTTTTGTGAAAGGCTGACACTGAATATGTGTATATATATATATATGAAAATGCTGATGAAAAATTCATGATTAGAGTGCCTTGCATTTTCCCATGAACTAGTAATAATTGAGAACCAATCTATTTCTTAATCAGAACATCACAGATTTCAAGATACCTAAAAAAGTGGATGAAAATATTTAATTTGTTTTCCATTTGTTTTGTCTTAAAGCCATACCCAATTGGACTCAGGGTTTACTCCTGGCTCTGCACTCAAAGATTACTCCGCTGGTGGTGCTTGGGGACCATATGGGACACAGGGAATTAATCCTGGTTGGCCAGGTGCAAGGCAAATGCCCTACCCTCTACAACATTATGCTGGCCTTCTTTTAATTTTTTTAATATTGAAGAAATATATTAGGTTTTCTGATCCTTGTACCATTTTGCAGTAGGAAAAGGAAAAGTTGAACGGTTTCATATGGGAGTCAATTTTAAATTAAAATAACATTGTCACCAGAAAAATATAAATATTTGACTTAAATCTTAATAGTCTTTTAGTGAGTGGCTCAATGGTGGTGATAAGACTTCACAGCAGATTTGGGATCTGCTGATGAGTTTTCCTGAGTACTTGCAAGCAAATTGATAAGGAAGTTTTTCAAATGGCAACATATTTATTTGGAATAAATTTCAAATAACACGTGTATTTTTTAGCTTATTTAATATTCTTGAACATTACTTATTAAACATTTTATGTCATCAATATGCACTTCCTGTAACTGTTGGGAATGATAGAAACAAAACTGTTCCATAAGTCAGACCTCTCACTAGGAAACAGGGATGTTTCATTTACTAACCTGTGCAACCTCCTTCTTGGAACTTGAAGTAGCCGTGAGCACAGCGGTCACATTTCTTTCCTGTGACTCCAGGTTGGCACCAACACTGCCCATTCTCTTCACAATCGAATGATTTAGACCCAAAGGAATTGCAGTTACAAGGAACACAACCCCTTCCTGACTGCAGGCCGAAGGTTTTAGGCTGGCACAGAAAGAGAAGGACAAAGAGTTTATTTAAATCATAATGGATCAAAACACACAACACTAAAAGATCTGGAAGGGAAAGAGAAGACTATGAGCATTCAAAGTTCTTTAATGATAATGACAAGTGGATTGTCACATAAATTCCTGAACATTTTTTATGATATCCAAATAGAAATAATTAATTTGAATTAATTTGAAATTTCATCAAGGTCAACAGGAGAATTAGGGCACTGTCATTCAGTCAAGTTACATTTTCACCATCCTTCCAAGAAACTGTCAACAATGTGAAAATAAGCTATGGGGTGATAATACTATTTAATAGAAAATTTAACTTCCTTTATTATTAATATGATTGATAACTTTCAGATTTTATGAACTTCTCATATTTGATATAAAATATTTCCATGTTATTGACGAGCAGCTAAAAATCAAAATTAAAAACTTCTCTAATTTTTGTCATATTCATAAATACTTCTATTCAACACTATCAGGCTCACACTATATACTTGGAGATAATGTCTACACTCACAAAAATAAATTGGTTTGAGAAACACCTAATCTTAGCCTACATTTACATCTTTTACATTTTAGCCTAACAATTGAAATTGGTTAACAAGAACACTTGAAAAAATTGAATGAAGGAAAAATTTGAATCTTTGATGATTTTTTCTATATCAAACTTTTACAATGATCAGCTTTCTATGGTCAAATTTGGCTGATTTTCTTAAAATGCATTTTATCAGAGCTCGAGTTACTGTGTTAGCACACAACGAAGGATAAAACATCAGTTATACTAGAAAAAGCATGCATCCTATTGAAAGTATGTCAGAGTTTTATTTAAAATATAAAGTATGTCACATTATTATGATATTTTAATTTATAAAATTAGTCTCTATGATAACTTCTTTGTGAAATTGATTCCATTTTTTAAAAACTAGATTTAATTATTTCTTGATAAAAGTAAAGCTTTCAATTTAACATGAATCACCAAAAGAGAATGAATAAATGTCATTTTATGTACTTCATTATACACACACATATTTCATTATTCTCAGTAGTATTAAAAAATTTCTAAAATGCAAAAGCATATTAAAAATTTGTCTTTCAATTGTTTGTAATTAAGAAATATTTTGTTTTTAAAATGTAAAGTGGTTTGATTGAGCTTTATAACCATTTAATTTTTTACTTAATGGCAAAAATAACTTCTAGCTCAGATTTTATTAAATGATTAAGTAAAGTTCTAACAATATGATTTAAAAATTAAGATTAGAGTAAATTATATGAAGAAATATGCAATCATATTTATAAAAATTAATCCAACATAAAATTTTGGGAACTTGAAAGAAATAATTGGAAACTCAGAAAAAGGTTAAAGTATGAGTATGCCCACTACAATATTATATATTCACTTTATTGCTTACATTTTTAATTTTAGAGGAAAAGTCAAATTAAATTTTGTTGCATTTATACTATGCAATGATATATAATCATTTAAATTATGTTTTGAAGCAGTTTTAATTCTGCGAATGAAGATTCTTAGGATATGACATTAAATTAAATTTAAAATGCAAAGTTTTATGAACACTGACATACCTACATCACTTAAGTACTCACAAATAAGAACATATACGCAGGGGAGAAAAGCCTAGAACATGTCAGTTTTCTAAAATATCTCATGGTATTACTTTGCATTCATCTTTATTTCCAAGAATTTTTTGGCTTGGAAAAATGAATTGCGTTCTATAAGTTTATAGTAATTTTTATTTACTAATATTTTCCTTTATCACCTATGATGGGCTGGAGCGATAGCGCATCCATAGGGCGTTTGCCTTGCACGCGGCTGACCCGACCGACCAGAGTTCAATTCCTTTGCCCCTCTCAGAGAGGCTGGCAAACTACTGAGTATCTCACCCCATGGCAAAGCCTGGCAAGCTACCCGTGACGTATTAAATATGCCAAACACAGTAATAAGTCTCACAATTGAGATGTTACTGGGCCCACTTGAGCAAATCGATGAACAATGGGAGGACAGTGACAGTGACAGTATGCATATAATTGATAAGTCTCTAACATATTATGTAAAATTTCATAGTTATCAGTAAAATTTCAAATTTTGTGAAGAAATATGCAGGAAATGTCTCTATTTCTCTTCAAATATTTGTATAATACATCTTACTTTAATTTTTATATATTTTAGAAAAGAAAAATAGTTTAATTAAAAGAAAATTACATAGAGAAATATGGAGAGAGAGAGAGAGAGAGACACTGAACAGACTTCTTTAGAAAGGGAAAATGCCAATAATGCAGTTTTAAAGGTTAAGTTATATCCAAATGCTACCCAATTTTAGTAATAAAACTCTGATAAGTGAGATTTAATAAGATTTAATAAAACCTGGTGTCCAAAATTTAATTTCAGACACTAGGGAAAAACTTTGAAGCTACAACTTTAAGGGGCAAACACTACAAGTCAGCAATTGAAATTAATGAGTTAAAATAAATATGGGAGAGAGTGCGTGTATAGTCTCAGTTGCAAATTTGATGGGCTCCAATAAACTATTCTCACGTGGAATAATGATAACACCTGAAACTACATATTGTCCTTACTCTGTGCCAAGAACTGATCTACAGCCTTTAACAAATAAGAATTCACTTAATCCTCATGACAATCATTGGAGATGTTATCATCATCACCTCTCACAGGATGACTGGTGAAACTGAAGGTCAAGCAATTGGCCCAAGGTCATAAGCTAGCTAGGCGTCAAGATTTCAAATCAGCCTGCTATCTTGAGAATCTGTGCACTTAACCCACACATACTGCCCAGGAGAAAAACGGTCCCAGGGCAAAACACTAAAAAAAAAAAAAAAAAAAAAAGTATATACTGCAGAACAGATAAGGAAAGAGTATGAATTAGGTTAGAAATTATGTTACATTTATATGAACAGGCTAGAGCAATAGCACAGCGGTAGGGCATTTGCCTTGCACGCAGCCAACATGGCCGACCGGAGTTCGATTCCTCCGCCCCTCTCGGAGAGCCCGGCAAGCTACCGAGAGTATCTCACCCGCAAGGCAGAGCCTGGCAAGCTCCCCGTGATGTATTCAATATGCCAAACACAGTAACAACAAAGTCTCCAATGGTGACGTTACTGGGCCCACTCGAGCAAATCGACGATCAACGGGAGGGACTTTTATATTTGAACATGCTTGGATCAGCTCTGTCTTCTACTGCAAAGGGGCAAGGATGTTTTTGATGATCACCTTTAAATATAATTACTGACCATATTAATGCACTGTCCTTCCGTTGTTCATCAATTTGCTCAAGCAGGTCCAGTAACGTCTCCATTGTGAGACTTCTTGTTACTGTGTTTGGCATATTGAATACACCACAGGTAGCTTCCCAGGCTTTGCCATACAGGTGAAATACTCTCGGTAGCTTGCCGAACTCTCCAAGAGGGGGGCGGAGGAATCAAACCTGGCGTGGCCAGGCCGGCCGCGTGCAAGGCAAATGCCCTTCCCGTTGTGCTATTGCTTCAGCCCGACCATATTAGTGAAAACCGTAATAATATCCTGCATTTACTACTAATTCTCGAGAAGTGTGACCAGCGCACTCTTCTTACACCACCTGGAATCAAAACCCCAGAGAATCCTTAAGAAATCCCTCTCAAGGAGATCTTGTAATTGGAGTGATATTGATTGACAACCTGCAGTTTCAGTCTGTTGGGTGCACTGGAGGTGGCCACACCACGTGTTACTTATCTCCACCAGAATGATTTTTCTTGAAGCATTAGAATCAGTGTTTAATTCACTCTGATGGGCAATCTTGGCTTGGGTAACTTCTGACCATGCCAAGAATTGGAATTTGGGTGGCATACGGTGAATGAAGCTTTTCCATTTAATCCTTCCCCCTTTTCACATAGATCTGTATGTAGGAATGGCCCCGGGCATAGTACATTCTCTCCTTTTTCCTCTATTGCAGCTACTTCCCCTGGTAAATCTCTTGGCACTTTTAAGGGCAAACAAACATAAGCCCTAGGAAGCACATCCTACTACGAATAAAGAAGCTGAATTACAGAAATATTTAAGAAACTCTTTTACAGTTAGGAAGTGGTGAGGTCGACAATTTGACCGGAGGCAGTTGGATATCAGAACGAGTTTTCAGAGAAATGCCCATAAAGAGTCAAGAAATAAAGTCACTTCTCTTTTTTTTCTTCTCTTTTTTCATCTTTGTATTTTATTTCACTCTCACCTTCTATTCATACGCTCAACACCCTCACAGGCTGTGATCTTACACTGGCAACTCTTGTTATTCTGTGCTACAGTTCACCTTTTTTTGCTCACTCCTCCTTTTCCCCTAGCAACAATGAGTTTTTTGTTTGTTTGTTTAGCTTTGTGAGAAGGGACCAATCTTTGTTTTTGGTAGGAGAATATATGTTTTCTTTCTTTATATGTTGTGTACTTATATAATGTTTAGAGTATGAATGAGTAATATATGATGTGGAAAAAATTCACTAATTGTGATGGAATGCCAGCCAATAGGCTGGGATTTCTTAGGCAAATAACTTTCCTGCTATATTTTCTTGCATTTATTCAGTCTTAAAATTGATGTTTGCCCCAAGTTATGCCTAAGATCCTTCTTACTTAAAGGTCACACATAGGTTACTACAAATGAGAAATTTTGTTGTTTTCGACATTAGCAAGACTGCTCTGAAGCTATGAAATTGAATGTGTGTTACTGATTTATTTTGCTTTTTAGTTTTGAATCACACCTCTGTGAGCTTGAGGTCACTCTTGACTGGGTTCAAGGGTCAACGTGATGCCAGGGATGAGCCTTTGGCTCCAGCAGGCAAAGCATGCATTCCAGCCCTTTGAGCTGTCCCCTGAGCCCTTGATAAGCTTATTAAAACATACTTTTAAAGAGGCAAGGCTTCAACCAGGAATTGTCTAATGCTGGCATCTGCAATTTGTATGCTAAGCAACTGTTTTTAGGTAAAATGCTACCAGGGAAGGAGAGCCACTTCACACAGAACACACCATGCAGAGACACAAGTCATGCGTGTCCTCTGGGATTACCGGAGATGCGGGCCGGTAGGCGCCACGAGGGCACCCGCTGGAGCTGCTGAAACCCCACCTGGAGGAAGGACCCACGACCCATTGCGTTTTCCGTGAGTGCTCCTCCTGGCGGTGCACCTGACTGCCGAGGTGGCACTGTTTCCCTAGGAAGCCTGCTTTACAGGCGCATCTTCCTGTAAAGTCACACTGCGGTGAGACAGAGCCGTGGGCACTGCAGTCACAGAACACACAGAATCGCTTCTCCGAGTTCCACCACATATTGGGCTTTAGAAGCCAGGAGAGAAAGAAAACAGAACAACAGCAAAAGAGCACATGATGTTATTCAGAGAGAGAAGCAGATGAAACCTTCCTATTTCTTACAGAGAGACCAATTGGACGTGTGAGAAAGGCTTAGACAAGGGCCTGAGGATTAGGTGCTGCCCAGGCCCCGAGGTGCCTGGAACCATCGTGCCACCCCTACCAGCCTCTGCAGGACTGCTAGAGGCATATGGGCAGGCAGTGTAGTGCTGGGGATCCAACCAAGATATGCCACCTGAATACCATGACTGTCTGCTCCCTGCTTACTATCCATACCACTAAAAATATATTTATGCAAAAGAGGTTATACATAAATAGCCATCCAAATTCTTAGGGAAATTGCAAGGTTTTCACCATACCATAGGTAGGGCATTATGTTCAAGGACAGAGAGCAGAGTATTCGGATTATTTCATTTTAGCAAAATGATGAGTGTAAAATGATTGATTTCTTTGTCTCCTGAAAATCTGTGTTAAAAAGGTGCTCACTGGAACTGACTTTTAAATGATACGCCTAGAACAAAGAGCTTTATAAAAGAAAGTGTGGGGTGTTTTATTCTGGCAACAGAAAGACATGTAAAGAAAGAGTACTTTACTCTCTGCATATTGTGATTGTATTTTGATAATGTATTTTTTTCAGAATTTTCTGAATTTCATTAAATATTACACAAATTCACTCTCAAGGAAGCTATGGATTGAGGATTAAATCCTAGGACACAAAAAAAATTTGTTTTTTTACATAGAATTAGATAATCTCTAACTCTTCATTTAATACAATAAAGAGTATAACATTGAAGGCTACCGAAAACATAAAAAAAAGGAAAAAATTCACTGGTCAGTTCCTGCTCCTTACCTTACATTCATCACAACGCCATCCCTGCACATTGGGTCTGCATTCACATTGTCCTGTCTTAGTGTTGCAAACATCAGAGAAAGAGCCATTGGCATTACAGCGACAAGCTGTTAAAAAAGAAAAAAAGAAAGAATAAGCTCTGACATTCAAAATAGAAGCATCAAAAGCTAAAATAAACAAGTGGGACTACATCAAACTAAAAAGGCTAGTACAGCAAAGGAAATCATCAACAAAATAAGGCAATCTACTAAATAAGAAAAAAATATTTTCAAATCACATACCTGGTAAGGAGCTAATATCCAGAATATGTAAGAACTCATACAGCTCAATGGAAAATAAATAAACAAAAGAATGGATATGAATAGTCTTTTTTCTCTCTAAAGGAGACATACAGATGGCCAGCCAGTACATGAAAAGATGCTCAACATCACTAATCATCAGGGCAATGCAAATCAAGACTACAGTGAGATATCACTTCACACCTGTTAGAATGACTATTATCAAAAAGACAAGCCAGGTTAGTGAGAATGTGGGAGAAAACAAAACGTAAGTTTGTGCAGCTGCTCCATAAAACAGTATGGAGGTTACAAAGAAATGAAAAACTACCATCTGCCACAGTAATTCCACTCTGCTTCATTATTCAAAGAATATGAAAACATTAACTCAAAAAGATATAAGCACCTCAATATTCATGACTCAATATTATTTACAATAGTCAACATATGGAAACAAAATAATTTCCATTCATAGATAAGTGATATGTCTATACGTATATTTATTTATACATAATATAACTAAGTATGGAATATTATCCAGCCATAAAATAAAGATAATCTTGACTGGAAAGATAGTACATTGGGTAGGGTGCTTGCCTTGCACTCTGTCAACCTGGATTTTATCTCTGACACCCCATATGGTCCCTAAGACTGCCAGGGATTTTCCTTGAATACAAGGCCAAAAGTAAGCTCTGAGTTTGGAATGACGCCAAAATCAAAAAGATTAAAAGTATGAAAAAGAAAAATCTGGCCATTCCTTGATGACATTATCATCAACAAAGTCAGACTGAAAGAGACAAATATCATATGACCTCAATTACACGCAGAACCTAAAAAACTAACAGAAACAAAATACTCTTAGATACAGAAAACAGATTGGTGATGGTTAGGATCAGGCAGTGGGCAAAATGGAAGGAAGGGACCGAAATATATAAATTTTCAGTTATAAAATAAATAAATTATAAGAGCACAATAACTGCATGCAAATATGGATAGTGCTGAAAGTAGACTATAGACCAAACATGATTGCCACTCAATGCCTCTTTTGCAAACCACAACACCCAAAAGGAGAGAGAGAACAGAGGGGAATGCCCTGCCACAGAGGCAGGGTGGGATGGGAGGGATGGAGGGTGGGAGGGGAACTGGGATCCGTGGTGGTGGGAAATGGGCACTGGTGGAGGGATGGATATTTGATCATTGTATAATTGAAACCCAAGCACAAAATTTGTAAGTCTACAACTGTACCTCATGGTGTATCACTAATTAAAAAATAAATTAAAAAAAAGAAAATATGGATAGTAATTTTTGTTGTACATTTGGAAGCTGCTAGTTGACCTAAAAAGTTTCTATCACAAAAACTTTTAAATATTTATAGTGACATATGTGAAATATACTAACTTTAGAGACCATTTCATAATATAGAAAATATTGAATGGAAGTTGAGTACTCTTGCATTGACTATTTAATATTTTTTTTCTTTTCCTCTCCCATAGCCCATCTATAAAGTTTAGGAGATTATTCCTTTACTTTATCATGGCAAAATGAGAACTTGTCACATGAATATTTTATACAGTTTATTAATTTTCAAATTTTGTTTGTGGGACACATCTAGTCATACTTGGGGTTTTCTCCTGGCTCTGCTCTTTGGGATCACTTCCGGCAGTGCTCAATGAGTGCTCCAGGAAATGCATGCAATGCTGCGAATTGAAATCTGATAAACTCTACGCAAGGCAATAAGCTATCAAAGGAGCTACCAGTGCATAAGCATCCCAGGCTCTCAGCAACCAGGTGGATACAACACACTTTTTATGAGCTCAATCCTTCAGTTGCTGGGGGAAAAATGGAATTGTTTTGTAAATAAAGAAGAGAGACTCAGTAAGGTAAAATATCTTTCCCAGAGTTACAATAGCTGGCAAGTGGGAATCATGCAAGATATTTTTTAAGAAGAGAAGTTGTTAAATTTCCTGAGACTCTACACAAATGCTAAAAAATTAGTGACTGAAGTATTCCTAAGCCTGTTAGGGTTTGCTTTAAATGATGGTAAATTCAAAGGTCATTTTAAAATATACTAATTATTCCAGGAAGTGATTTATTATGTATTCAATACGATTTTATTCTTAATGATGAAAAGATGCCACTCATTTCCAAATATGCCAGGAGAAATGAGCATTTCTTATTGAAATGGGGTGCTTAAATGTTTACAACTGAGATAATAACACAAACTATATCGTCAGCAATTTCTATTAAATTTTCAGGTCCTGATACCCAAGTGAGTGATTGAGAAAATTGTTAGTAGATATTGACAAGGAGAAGTGAACTGTTGGGCTGGTCTCAGGCCTATTTAGGTCTCAGCCTAAATAGCAACCTAGGAGATGGTGCTGGCAATAGATTCTTATAATGCTTGATGGAAACATCAACTTAAGTTCTTAACTTTCCACAATAACGTATCCCTTGCCAGTCATAATGCCATAATAATGCCAGTATAAAGTGTTTGAGATTCTATGTTTTATTGAATAATACATCTAAGGAGGTGAAGATGAGGGGGCGTGTACTATCTAAATAAATAAAGTCCAGCAACCACTGATTTTGTGGAAATAAAATACACAAATAGCACTCTATGGATAACTCTAAGGTAATCACTTGTTAATCACTTGACAATTATAAATGGCAAAATGTACACCAATTATGAAATACAAGATTACAAATTAAAAAAGCAAAATTCACTATGAAAGCCAATAGATTAGTACCTGTTGATAGGTACTAATAGAATAATATGGGTAAACACGTTTGTTTCAGTAAAATGATTAGAATTGATTTTTAAAAAAGAATGAATAAGAATTTGGGAATTTGCAAACGCTTCTTTCCCATTATGTATATAAGTTAGGTATAAAATATTCATTCCACATATAAACAAAAATATGTGCATCATTAAAAAGCATTTTCCTGATGAAGCAATTTTCAAAGGATGTACTCAGTGCAAAAATAGTTTAGAATGTTCTGACTCTGTGTTCAGTGTGCATCTATCATACATGTATTACATATCATTTCCTACTCTCCAACCCTCACTCAGGAACTCATCAGCTACTTTGAGGTGCAATGCATCAATTCTGTCAGGGGCATCAATAGTTCAGGACTTACGCTGACAGTTCTTTGCATCAACAGCGTCTCCAAAATATCCATCAGCACAGAGCTCACAGTAGCGGCCTGTTGTACCTGGCTTACATATCAGACAGGAGCCAGACAAGTTGTCACAGCTGCCAGGGATGGAGAAGTCGAGGTTGTCATTGCATTGGCAAGGCTGACATGATCCTCCAGGTACAGAAGGTTGTCCAAAATAGCCTTCTGCACACCTAGGGTAAAAAAATTCATTAGTGAGTATTTGGGAGGAGTTCATTAAACCTGACAGGGGCATTGTTTATATCTTTCACACACTCCTTTTCATGAAGATATATTCTTCTTTTAAGTGCTCCTTTTCTTCAAATGCAAGGTGATTAAAAAAAGTGTTTTTCTGTAAAGATCGTGCAAATACAAGATGAAATCCTGCCAGCCACACTAGTAATTAGATTTTAGCCAAGATAAAAAAGAATCTTGTCATTGGCACTGAAGACGAGACAAAGCATAATAATAAATCTGCTGCTGGCACTCTAGAGGAATCCAGGTCCGTGTTGGAAAGTCTTTGTAGCACAACATATCATGCATGCATCTATTCCATTTGGTTGTTTTCTGTACAAATATGTAAGGCTCACATTTTTATGTTGTGGCAGCAAGGACTTGTTAGGAAACAGATCCATAAGGAAATGCAGTTGTGAGAATTCAGCATTTATTAAATAGAAAAGTGACTTTCCTTGCAATTTGGTTGGAATTGTGAGTATCTCTACATTTATAATTGGTTTTCTCCATGTTTACATATCAGTCACAGACAGTTTCACTGAAGGGTCTCTGCTGTGAAACAGCCATGCGTGCATATTAAAGGTAACAAGTCTTAAGTGATGCTTAATTGTGCACATGACTCATATTAGAAGACTCTAGTTTCTTCTTTTTAAATATCTAAATGTTATTTTACTTATTATTGGTAACACTATATTCTAGTTGTTTACTTATTTATAAGATGCAGCCAAGAATATTTATTAACTTTTAAAACCAAGTTTTTTTTTTCTAATTGCGAGGTTTTCAAATGTGACTTCAGGTTCCGGATGCACTGATACATCTCTCTAGGCAGCATCTATTGATATTATATTCTCTGTCCTCCTTCGGCCTCAGCTATATCTTTCATGTTTATTGTTAAGCAAGGGAGAATTGAGGCAGGGTATATCTACAGTTTTAAGGTTAGTTTTGCTGTTTTCATTTTCACCTTTGCAACATAAAAAGGCTTTTTCTGCAAGAGTCAAATATGACTGAGAACAAAAACAATGCGGGGGCAACAGAATTTCATTCTTCCATTTTATTCATAGGCATGAAAGTCACTTTGTAGAGAATTGCTTTCTACTATTTGAATTAGAAATGTTCTACATCACATCAGGGTCTTTTACTAGCATTTTAAGTCATGTGCCTAATCATTTATGTGATCAGATATATTGATAAATTCATGGGGCTGGAGAGATAGCACAGCGGGTAGGGAGTTTGCCTTGCATGCGACCGACCTGGGTTCAATTCCCAGCATCTCATATGGTCCTCTGAGCTTCGCCAGGAATAACTCCTGAGTGCAGAGCCAGGAGTAATCTCTGTGCATCGCTGGGTGTGACCCAAAAAGTCAAAAAAGAGTATATTTATAAATTCAAAGTTTCTCAGAATACTTTCAAGTGCCATAATAGTCTTAGAATTAACCATTTGTCATGATTTTTATACTGAGTTTGATACTTGTATTATTTTTTAAATTTTTATTTTTGTTTTTGGGTTATACCCAGCGGTGCTCAGGCATGAGCCCTGGCTCTGTAGTTAAGTATCACTCCTGGTGGTGCTCAGGGGATCATATGGGGTGTCAGAAACCTAACCTGGGTAGATCAGGCAAGTGCCCTACATGCTGTACTATCATGCCAGACTCAAGATTCCTACTCTTAGTAATGTTCACAGAATATCAAATATTAGGAGATTCAGTATGCATTGGGACAGTCACTGTCACCCACTGATATAATTGCCTATTAAGTCTGCATTATAAACTCCGAAGTAACTGTAGTACAAAGAATGTCCTACAATCCAGTCAGGAATAGATTTACTTTATTTATCTTGAATCTTAACAAAGATAATATTAAAGATAACAATCTTACATTTATTGATAAAATCATTACCTTATCCATACAGATAATAAGTCTAAGGAGGTACTTCTCGTGGTAACCTAATTCTTATTGCTTATTTGTTATTCAGAGTTTAGATCACATCCACACATATTTACATCTTATTTTGTTTACCATTAAAAGTGACTTTTCTCCACTAGAGTAACATTATAATGATCATCATTAGAACCAAGAAAATCCCATTATTTTTCCTTTCACTTTCTACAAAATGACTTATTGCCCTCAGGAGAGATGGCATCATATAACAATATCTGGAGATTTTTCTCATCATAAATGCAATTAATATACCCTATGCTAAGTCATAATAAAATGCAGTACATGACAAAATAACTGCAATTATAATTATTAAGTAAAGAAGCATCTGTCTTTAGTTTTTGATGCAGGAGGATAAAAATTATTATTTTTTTAATAATTTTTATTAGTGAGTCACCATGAAGTACAGTTGTAGACTTACAAGTTTTTGTGCTTGGGTTTCAATTATACAATGATCAAATACCCATCCCTCCACCAGTGCCCATTTCCCACCACCACGGATCCTAGTATCCCTCCCACCCCCCATACCCCCTATCCCCCCCTGCCTCTGAGGCAGGGCATTCCCTTTTGTTCTCTCTCTCTCTCCTTTTGGGTGCTGTGCTTTGCAAAAGAGGCATTGAGTGGCAATCAAGTTCGGTCTATCGTCTACTTTCAGCATGTATCTCCAATCCTTGGAGGATCCTCCCATCACCCTTTATTTGGTGCTCCCTTCTCTGTCTGAGCTGACTAAACTTAATAAATACTCCATGGGCTATTTAATAAAAATATGAATTTGCTTTATTTTTGGTGAACATTTGATATATATTTCCACACAAGCTAATTTTAACCCTGTAATATACCTGTCGATTTACAAAAATGTTTCAAAAGGGCTGAAGAGCTAGTTCAGTAGACTATATTGCATGTAGTTTTCCATTTAGAAAATCTGGGTATATTCCCAGCACTACATGTATAGTCACCAGCCCCACCAGGAACAAACCTTGGGATAATCCCCATAACTGGTGGGTGTGGTAAACAAAATATTTTAATATAAATTTAAAAGTGATTATAACGTAGATGAATACAAATTCACCGATTATGTAACCTGAATTACTATCGTGTTGCATTGTTTGATCACTTTGGATTCCCCTAATTAAAATGAGTGTAAATCATAGTCCTATGGATCTTTCCAGCTTCTTGGATGTTTTCTCTGCCAAAAACTGGTTATAATTTCAAAGCTTAAGTCTACTCATTTTCATATGCAAGGCACAATGAGGAATATATTTTTCTTTTGGTTTCTGGCCTGCACTTGACTGTGTTCTGGGCATACTTCCAGCAAAGCGCTTAGGGATCACTCCTGGTAGAATTTGGGGAACTATATGTGGTGCAATGGAAAGAATGCTCGTTGGCTGCATGCAGACAAGCACCATCCCCTCTGTACTATGTCTCAAGCCACAAGAAAAATAAAGAATATTTCTTAAACACAGAATTCATTGGGCTGCTTACTAGAAATCAATGTCTCTTTTACACTGAATGTGCTATGACTTTTTTGTTTTTTTAATTTTTGGGTCACACTTAGCAACGGTCAGGAGTTACTTTTGTCTCTGCTCTTCAAGAATTCCTGTTGGTAATGCTCAGTGGGCCATAGGGAATGTCTGAGATCTAACCTTGGTTGGCCCCGTGTAAGACAAACACCCTGCCCACTGTACTATTGTTCCAGCCTCTGTGCTATGTTTTATTAGTCTTTTCTATTTGCTCGAGCGGGCCCAGTAACGTCTCCATCATGAGACCTGTTGTTACTGTGTTTGGCATATCGAATACGTCACGGGTAGCTTGCCAGGCTCTGCCGTGTGGGCGAGATACTCTCGGTAGCTTGCCGGACTCTCCGAGAGGGGCTGAGGAATCGAACTTGGGTCGGCCATGTTGGCTGTGTGCAAGTCAAACACCCTACCACTGTGCTATCACTCCAGCCCAGTCTTTTCTATATTCCCTTTATTAGGATAAAACACTCTGCATTTACAGGCCTATTCATATTTTCTACTTTAAATATTTTTAATTCTCTTTACTCTTACTAAATTGTTGTAGGCTTTGCCTAATTGACTTAAACACTATAGTACATTTAAAAAAACATGAAAACTTGCTTTATTAAGACAGAGAACTCAGGATTATTTGTTTAATGAGACACAAATACAAAATAAAAGTTAATGCAATGTATTTTGGATACCAGAGTTGAAAACTTAACTATGCAAATGAGAGTAGGCATAATATTGCATTAAATGATTTCAATTTCTTTATTTATACAGATTAATACCATATAGCATTTAATCAACACAAATTGACTTTTAAAATCTAATTTTTGATAATTGCATTTACCATTCCTCTAAGTTTACTTGAAACAAGTGATATGAAATAGTTGTTGTGTGCCTGCTTAGGACCCAGGCTGGAATCGGGGTGGGAGGCTGGGATCCTGGTGGAGGAAAACTTACACTGGAAATGGAATAGGTTTTGGGACAATAATTGCCTGAAACAACTGTATTATGAACAACTGTGTCTATCACATCACTGTCACTGTCACTGTCTTCCCATTGTTCATCGATTTGCTCGAGTGGGCCCAGTAACGTCTCCACTATGAGACTTCTGTTACTGTGTTTGGTATATCAAATATGTCTCGGGTAGCTTGCCAGGCTTTGCTGTGTGGGCGAGATACTCTCGGTAGCTAGGGCATTTGCCTTGCATGTGGCCGACCCAGGTTCGATTCCTCCGCCCCTCTCGGAGAGCCCGGCAAGCTACCGAGAGTATCCCTCCCGCATGGCAGAGCCTGGCAAGCTCCCCATGGTATATTTGATATGCCAATCACAGTAAGTAAGTCTCACAATAGAGACATTACTGATGCCTACTCAAGCAAATTGATGAACAATGGGAGGATAGTGCTACAGTGCTAACCTTGATGGATCATTGCCAAATTGTCAGTGAATTGAACTGTCTAGTGCTTAAAGGGAAAAAAAGAAAAAAAGTTAAAAGTGACTGCTGGAAAGGCAGAGTCAAGGGGC